GTCTGTTTATTGTTGAAATTTATCGCCAACAAGTCACAGACACCTACTGTAAAGAATCACAGCCTTACAAAAAACCCATACAACCAATGCACAATTTTTTAACAGTAACAAGTTTGAGAGTAATTTCATTGATAATGAAATGTTAACTACACTGGCTACCACAAAGTTTTAAAGTTTGGTGAAATGAAGAAACAAATAAGTTAGTTTATCTAAAGCAAAGAAATTAGATGCATGTTCAAGTCTATTGTGAGAATAAGTTATTGTTTTTTCATTTTAAGGATGTAATACCCAAGAATAAAAAAAATCTCATCATCTACAAATTTATTTACATATTCTATAGCGAGCTCCTTGTGTAGAAGAAGATGTGAATTCTACTTCTACTAGGCTAGTTCTCACATGCTATAACACATTCCTGAGAAATTTCAGAAATAATTAAGCAATAATGATAACTGTGATATTTACTCATGTTGAAGATCATGAGCAAATGAGGATTTGTGAAAGCTTTGAAGCAGTTGATACAACTACTCATTTCATCCTTTCAAAACTAGTATAGACATATTCAGATAACTACTTAAAAATTTTGCACTGGTGTTCTGCACATAGTGAACAACATTGTTGTAAAGCAGGTGTGAAAAGATCCTAAGCATGTACTAACCAACTTGCTTAGATAAATGTTACATAATACAATTCTTATTCTCTAATCGTAAACTTGGTTGTTCTGTTTCTATGTCATACCCTCCTGTAGTGAGATCACCTCATTCCAAAGAGTGATAGAGATTATTTAATTTAAAATGTATTTTGTGTTTCTCTCCCTTAAGTATGTTTATTTAGAATGATATTTGACACAAGTAATCTAAGGACTGTGAGATACCACACTGGAACCTTGATCTGACATGAATGGGATAGCCACATTTAGAATGATTGTTGACACAAGTAATCTAAGGACTGTGAGATACCACACTGGAACCTTGATCTGACATGAATGGGATAGCCACATGATATTCTCTTTTACTCCATAAATTTCTCTTTTGATTCCTGTCTTTGTCTCATGTACAGATTTTGAAATCTTCTGTATGCCCTACACCAAGTAGACTTAAAATGCAAATTCAAAGCAAGCTAGTAAGTTGGAGATTTACATCTTGCACTTTACTGTGAATAAAAATTGTTTATCTATCGTTTTTACTTGTACTTCCTTTGTTTTCTGTGGTCATTAATCTTATTCTCTACATAAAAAATATCTGTAACCTGCATATTTTGAAGATAGTTTATTCATATCTGTAGGACACCAGTGTGCTTGAATACCATAACCAACAACTGCAAAACTAAAGCAAACATTATATCAACTAAATCCAACAATACCAATTTCAGTCAGAATATTTTTTCTTCTGTATTAACAAATGATTGCATTTAAGTATTTACACATCAAAAATATCTTTAATATCCTTATCAAAACTGATTTGTTTCAAGCCATTACAATTCTGAGCAGTTAATTTCCTTTTATGAAGAACACTTGCAACTTTTAGGCTTACAATACCTTTCCATCACAGGTGCTGGAAGATGTATCACAAGGAAGCCCAGTATCAATACATCTTGGACCAAGGATGTTTGGCGTCACATCACCTTCATTGCTTTGTGCAAAAGCAGCAACAAATGGTCCCTTGCAAACAAATATAAAACACAAAAATTGAAATCAGATGGTTGATAAGTCACTTCTGAGGAAAAGTATCAAAATTATACCATAAAAAAAGGTCAGATTCTTTAAAAATTAGTTATTGTAATATGATCATTACTGTGCTTAAAATTCCTCATAACTTAGAAAAAAATCAATGTATAAATTTATTTATTTATTAGAGAGATTCAAAATATGCAGTGATTAAAACATCTGGAATAAAAAAAATGTTTGGCAGTGGAAAAATACAGACAAAAAGGTTTGGAACATCATTTGGTAACTTTCAACATATGCATATGAACATACTTTCAAAGTGGGAAAAAATGCTAAAACTTACTTCCAGAAAAAATAATGAAATACAAACTCTGTCAAATCAATTTTTACCTATGCACATATTCACACACACACAATTGAAAATGTACTTTGAATGATAATATACAAAAAAAATTTTATCTGAAAAATTCTGAAAAGTTTTTTAGCCTCATCTCAGTCAATTCAGCATCTTGGATGTATTCATTGTAAGTTTATGTTATATGTACTCAGGATTTCCTTTTAGTCTAAAATTGTCCATATTAATTGCCATCTATTTGTGTTTGGTGATGTTTTAGGATTGACTTATTTTTCTCATATAAATTACTATGTGTTTGAAGATGACGAACACATTTGGTAAATGTTAAGAATTATGTTATAATGATGACTTTATTATGTTCAATTATTTAAGGTTATACTCTACTCTTTCTCTGTCTGCATTATGCATATAAATAACTTCTCAAATTATTCACTAATACCGATTAAATGACAGAAAGAGGCCCAAGAACGATTTATGATAATAAATCAAAGGTCAAGTATCCAACAAAACTAAATGTCCTTAGTAAAAAGTTAGAACAGCAGAATGAAACATCTTCCATCATAAAATCCTGGTCTTAATACTAGAACAGAACATTAGTATGCTTTGTTTTTTTTCTTAATCAAGGTCTCTTTAATTCTTACAGTTTGCTTATCTCCTGTACTACTGAATATCTTAAACTAGCCATGTTTCAGGAACAAAATAAATCATGTTATTCTATACTGTGAACATACTGAAGTCCTTCATGTGATGTTAAGAGTCACTAGACTTTAATGATTACTATAAAATTTTTGATAATACTTAAGCAAACAAATATTAGAGAAAGA